TATGCTGTCGCGACACTTTTTGTAAATAATAATAGTTGGTCTACAAAGTCGTAGTACATTATTTTATTCTATCATCAATAGTTTTCGCAGGGCACGCTATGTAAAGGATATTTTAAGTAATTTTTTACACCTTGGGTTACATTATTGGAGTTTTAGAAAGGATCACTAATTTTTTTTTTTAAATTAGAGCCTATGTCACTCGGGAATAGTGTAGCTTCCAAACAGTGAAAGAATTTTTCAAATCGTCTCAGTAGTTTCGGAGCCTATTCAATACAAACAAACAAACAAATCTTTCCTCTTTATAATATTATAGTATAGAAGTATATATATATAGATTTTTCATTATTGATTCACTTTAAGGTTGATTAGACGCCTGTTATTCCACGATCGGACGGGAGTCGACTACTAGTGGCACCGAGAACCAGCCGTCAAGTCGCTTTAAAAACCACAAACATTTTAAAACATCAGTCCTGCTCTCGCGACTGCGTCACCTTCTGTGCTTCTCAACAATAACTAATAATGATTGGGAACAAACCACGTAATTTTTTCCTACCTATGCTGATAGCCTTGAGAGAGGCTATTTCATAGGTGAGCTCACGGGGCTCAAACCGGGAGTGTTGCTAATACTGGCCTTAACAAGAGCAGTGCTTCGCAGAATCTACCACCGGATCGGAAACGCGACCCACTGAGAAGATCCGGCGAGAAACTCAATGGGCTGATTTTTTGTAGAAAAACAGACGATAGTAAGCACTTTGGTCTTCCATGACCACGAAAACATCACGTCATTTCGGATCCTCCCGATCCACTAACGGTGCTTTTAGGTACCACAAGCACCACAAGTATGTTTGGAATACATTAATAGTTTTAGGAAAGATCCTAATATTGACTTAAATTTTGCTCTGAAATATTCCGTATGCGATTTCAAAGTTCACAGGTTCATGTACCCAGAGTCGCAAACATATTTCTCGTGCAAGGGTGATTATGTCATTGTTTAAAATTAGGTATCGGATTGTTTTTTGCGGAGGATAATGTGAATGATAAACTAAAATTCCAATATTATCATATCATAGCCATTTAAACGACTTAACCTTGAGATTAATAATTTTCGAAGTTACCTTGTTTTAATATATTTTTAAATAAAGTTGTTGTAAGATTGTTTTTAAAATAAAGACAATCTCAACCTTAATACAATTGAAAATAATCGAAAGGAGATTGAAACGATTACATACATTTGGGCCCGAATGTAACGTGATAAAACTAGTATGAACTAGAGGTCCCGCAGTAGTCGAAATTCGACTATAATTAATTGGAATTGTAAGTTTGTACACTATTATGATTGTATTTTATACTTCTATAATCACAAATTTCACCAAGACTACACTATAAAAAAATTTAACAAAGACAAACAATATTTAATCTCAATTTGACAACAGACGTCAAGAACAAAAATTTGACAATAAATAGTATGCATGTGTGTGTGTGTCAAATACATGGTGTGTAGTGTGTGTAATGTTTTCTTAATTGATTTAATGTATATTTTATGCATTATTTAAAAAAAATATTAGCACTGTGCACTTCTTCTCTATATTCTCTATAAGTGTGAAAAAATTCATACTCCTCCGTCCGCGCAATTTTCGTAAAAAGGGATACAAAGTTTTTGCTTCACGTATTAATATATAGATTAATGAATTAATAGATTCAAATTTATCAGTACCTTGCTGAAAATTCTAAAAGTTTTCTCAATCTCAGAGCCGAGTTAATAAAGATTTAGTAAAAGTTAGGTTATGTTACAATCTCTATAAAAGAGCTGAATAATAACTTATTTAAGCATAAGTAAATGTTTAATATATCCATTGGATAATCTTTTAAATGTCATATTATGAATGAATATCAATGATATATATCAGGTATGGATTTACCTAAAAGGCGTCGAAAAAAATAAAACACAACGTATTGTATACCTAGTGTTCTACAATCTGTCCTTCAATTAATTTATTTTGCGCTCTTGTTGCTATTGTTCATCATCATCATCATCATGCTTTCCTATTACCCTCTGCTGGGGTGTAGGGCTCGAATCAAATTTTTCCATTTGTATCGGTCTTGGGCAGTCTGTTCTAGCTCCTCCCACGTCATGCCCAAGGCCCCTAGCTCCTGCTCCACCGATTATATTGTTCATAGCTTTAAGAATTCCTCTGAGTGTAGGGCGCCTACTGACCTATACCAGGCCCATGTTTCTTCTTTCACGGCTTTCGTTCCCTTCCCCTTTTTAAGACCTAGTGTTGAATTCCTCTACCAAGCTTTTACAATACTCCTATCTACTTTTTATCATATCCAATATACCATTGAGTAGAACCAAAGTATTACCTAAGTTTTCCTGAGTACTTCTCCATTTAATCAGTTCCTCTTATTATTATTTTTATTGCTTAGATGGATGGACGAGCTCACAGCCCACCTGGTCCGGTAACCGGAGCCCATAGACATTTACAACGTAAAATGCGCCACCCACCTAAAGATATAAGTTCTAAAGTCTCAGTATAGTTACGACGGCAGCTTTAACCTTCAAACCGAAGCGCATTACTGCTTCACGGCAGAAATAGGCGGGGTGGTGGTACCTACCCGCACGGACTCACAAGACGCCCTACCAACAGTAATCCAATTGATCTATCCTTGAGAGTACATCTAAATCTCATATTACATTAGATACTTTAGGCTGTTTGGTCCTAGCTTAAATTCTACAAATTATTTTCCGAACTCTTAAGGTTTTCGTGTCACATACAAAGTCGCAATACCAGAATTCGAAACTCTGCCTTATACGTGTAACGCAAGCCGAGCGCCTCTGGCTTCCAGATTCCACAGACCAGTCATTAAGCGATGATAGATCATTAGGAGGATACCGACACGTGCACGCAGCTACGGGCCACTAGGTACTATCCGCCGTGAGAAATTGAAACATAAAATCTTATCGCCTATTAACTCAAACTTCTAATATCCCCAACTACAAATCCATCGTATTGTGTGTGTGTGTTTTTTTTTATTGCTTAGATGGGTAGACGAGCTTACAGCCCACCTGGTGTTAAGTGGTTACTGGAGCCCATAGACATCTACAACGTAAATGCGCCACCCACCTTGAGATATAAGTTCTAAGGTCTCAGTATAGTTACAACCGCTGCCTTACCCTTCGAAAGGCATTACTGCTTCACGGCAGAAATCGATCGCAAATAGCAACATCTTCTTCTTTGTCTCCACCTTATCCCACTAGGTTAGGTTGGAACAGCTAATTTTTCTCTTCGATTCTCTTCTATCAGCCGTCATCTCAACACTCACACCTCTCGCTCTCATATCGTCATTCACACACTTCATCCATGTCTTCTTCGGCGACTTCTTCCCACATTAGGTTAAAAATTCGAAATACCAGACAAATAAAACTCTGTAGTTCAAGTTATTTATATAGATTGTATACACTGGTGGTAGGACCTCTTGTGAGTCCGCGCGGGTAGTTACCACCACCCTGCCTATTTCTGGGTGGCGCATTTATGTCGTAGATGTCTATGGGCTCCAGTCACCACTTAACACCAGGTGGGTTGTGAGCTCGTTCACCCATCAAAGCAATATAAAAAAAAATACTAGCTCCGATTGTAAGCTGTAATGTCTTCACACACATCAGCCATCGTCTGTCTTAAAATAGTTCATATTTTTGCAACGTGGTGATCATTTGCCGTCAGCTAAAATATGCTCATCTAGTACATATAATCTATTATATTCCACGTCTTACTGACGTGGACAAAGATAATTAATTCAAAGCACACCTACAGACATCACACATTAAAAATGTCAAAGCAAATATCACGTAATGATTGCATTGACATGTTATTGACGGTTACCGTTTGCTCTACCACGATTGGTCTGTCGTGGCCACCAATGACCATCAACTAAGTCAGTGACCTAGATTATTTGTTCTCTTTAGATATGTACAAACAACAGTTAATATAGTTTTATTTTTAATTTTCATTTAATTGTACTGGTGGTAGGACCTCTTGTGAGTACTGGTGGTAGGACCTCTTGTGAGTCCACCACCCTGCCTATTTCTGCCGTGAAGCAGTAATGCGTTTCGGTTTGAAGGGTGGGGCAGCCGTTGTAACTATACTTGAGACCTTAGAACTTATATCTCAAGGTGGGTGGCGCATTTACGTTGTAGATGTCTATGGGCTCCAGTAACCACTTAACACCAGGTGGGCTGTGAGGTCGTCCACTCGTCAAGCAATAAAAAAAAAAGCTGCTTATTATTTTTATCCTATTTTCAGTTATGTAGACAAAGTGAACAAGTTCATGGCCCCCTAACTTTGGTCGCGTATGTTCTATAGTGTGAATGATTTCGCGCATCCAGTACTAATTAAAAAAAATCATAAAACTAGCATCTTGCCCTTCAAACTACAGCACATAACAACTTCGTGATTGAAATTGGCAAGCTACCAGTCCATCCCGCAAATATAGTAGGACTAGCCACCCGCTCTCGCTTCGCTTCGGAAACTGTAATTTATTATTGATTTCTCTACTATTTAATGGATGGTATTATACATATAAACCTTCCTCTTCAATCGCTCTATCTATTAAAAAAAACCGCAACAAAATCCGTTGCGTAGTTTTAAAGATTTAAGCATACATAGAGACAGACAGATATAGGGACAGAGAAAGCAACTTTGTTTTATACTATGTAGTGATATAGTATAGGACCTTATTATCATCAGTCCACATCCGTTTAATGTTGGACTCATATCTCCTACAAGGTTCGCCAAAATACGACCCTTAAAAGATCATCGGTCTACCGCTTAAGAAGTCTTTATTTACCAGATTTTGTGGTTGTGAATACCCATGACGATTTGTTGTAATTTTCAGTTTTCAAAGTAAATGTATACTCTTGTTTGTAATTAGCCGATGTTCTAATACTAGAAAGAGATTGCCCTCATAACAAAAAGGTAAAAAAAGCCCCAAAAAGTACATACCTCATCTTGAAAAGTCCTGTGCAAGCTCTCTTTCGTGTACCTCTGCTCGCTCTGCTTCAAGATAGCAGAGCACTGCTTCAGTAGAGTCAATCTTAATCTTTCTCTTGCGCTCTCCTCTTCCATAAACGACATGCGATGTCCGTTTCTCGGAATCCCGAGCGAATCCCGTGCGCCATTTTGAACGCACCCGCCATTTGCATTCCGGTGACAGCTGTCGGTGTCAGTTTGACAGCTGTCAACTGTAATCACTATGTTCTCTGAGGGTTTTTCGTTTTCACTATTATTCACTTGTATCTCTCCGTTTAAGGATGTCATTTTGTTATGTTCGGAACTTATTTACATTTTTTTTAAAGATGATTCTATAACATTATTTCATCTATAATGTATAAGCACGTATCTACGTGAGTATCGGTGAACATATTACGTAATTTATGCAATAATTTAATATCAACTGAAATTATAAAAATCCGTAACGTGGACCGACCCGAAGTTGCAAGGTATCGTGATAACAGTTAAATTGAAGAAAAAAAACCCCAAAATCTTAATCAATCGATTCTTCTCTGGAAACCGGTATTTAAATTTCGGTATAAAAATTTCACTTTTCGTAAGTTAGTGACCAGTTTTGAGTCAAAATATTTACGGACATAAAACGCATACTTTCACTTTAATCGGCTACATTCGCTACTCAGAGGCCGTCGGTTCGATTGTGGACAAGTATCTGGATATTTAGATGTATGTGTATCTATATACGTGAAGCTATAACTTTGTATCCTTTTTTACGAAAATTGCGCAGACGGAGGAGTATGAAATTTCCCACACTTATAAAGAATATAGAGAAGGAGTGCAGAATGCTAATATTTTTTTAAATTATGCATAAAAAATACATTAAATCAATGAAAAAAAGCATTACACACACTACCATGTATTTGACACACACGCATACTATTTGTTTATTGTCAAAATTTTCTTTTTGCTTATAGACTGTGGTCAAATTGAGAATTAAGATCAAATCTTTTTTATTATTCTATATCTGTCTAAAGTGTAGTCTTGGCGAAATCTGTGATTACAGAAGTTTATACGTCTTCAACAATAGAATGATAATAGTGTACAAACTTATAATTGCAATTAATTACAGTCGGATTTCCATCACTAGTACCAGTAATAACATCAGTTTGATAGAATCAACAAAGGGAAGATCCTCTGAGCGGTTGAAAATGTCGTTAACAAGATTCAGGAATCTTTCATATATCGTGTGCTCTATGATAGGTACCGCCATACGATGCAAGCCCTAAATTCACGCCACGGCTATTATGAGTTTCGGTAAGTTATTTAACTACAAGCAAAATCTCTTTAGAGTCTACAGAGACTGGTTCGTTTTCTGTGCGATATTTTATTTTTATTTTTTTTATTTCTTAAATAAGTGGACGAGCTCACAGCCCACCTGGTGTTAAGTGGTTACTGGAGCCCATAGACATCTACGACGTAAATGCGCCACCCACTTTGAGATATCAGTTCTAAGGTCTCAGTATAGTTACAATGGCTGCCCCGTCTTTCCAACCGAAACGCATTACTGCTTCACGGTAGAAATAGGCAGGGTGGTGGTACCTACCCGCACGGACTCACAAGCGGTCCTGCCACCAGTGCTACCTCATGTTCCGCTGGGATTCTCTGAGGAGATGCTCGGAAGAATCCCACTGATGAGTAATGGCATCTCGATTGACTAATACCGACTTAGAATCTATTTTTGTTGGCATCAACGTCACACAAGGATACCACCAACGATGTGAAGATGTAAGCTATCTACCCATATAGCATGATTTTAAAATGTCCCTTGTGGAAGAGTGCAGTAAGCTCTCAATTGCACGAAAGTAGTGGACGGTGATATTCAAAGCAAGAAACACAATCAGATGACAAATGCAGGCTTAATTTCTTTAAGACAGCTGATGTCTCCATTGTCCATAGACATAGTACGGCCTTACTGTGTGTGAACGGAATGTTTAATGTTTCTTAAGATCATCGGCAGTATGTGAAAGTGTGTGTGTGTGTGTGTTGTTTTTTTATTGCTTAGATTTGTCGACGAGCTCACAGCCCACCTGGTGTTCTGGTGTTAAGTGGTTACTGGAGCCCATAGACATCTACAACGTAGCGCCACACACCTTGAGATATAAGTTCTAAGATCTCAGTAATAGTTACAACGGCTGTCGCACCCTTCAAACCGAAACGCATTACTGCTTCACGGCACAAACAGGAGGGGCGGTGGTACCTACCCGTGCGGACTCACAAGAGGTCCTACCACAAGTAAAGTGTTGTTCAAAATATTTTTAACTGTTCCATTAATCATTTTACAGTTTCCAAGGACGTTACAGTTTTTGTGGTCACGGAGGATAACAAGACACGCCTAATTGAAATTGAAGCTTTTCAATTCGGAAAGTTTAATTTTACTCATAGGTTTAACTTGAATTCCTTTACAATTTCTTTCGTCTTTTTCTTTAGTAGAAATGTCATTTGACAAAATATGTATAACGATTTTTAATAAATTTATTTCTTTAGTGAAATTGTATAGAAATGAAAATTATTTTACAATTATTAACCTACACTACGATTTTTTTTTATAAAGTAAAATCGAAAAGATTACGTGAATCGATAAAAAAAAAAATTCACTGTCACTTTTAAAGCATCACTTCACTGATATTGAACTTCAGTTCTTATTATAATGAGTCTACGGTGTATTTCTGGTTAACAATTATTGTTTTGCGGTATGTATACACACGCGCGGGCGTTCGTGTCCGTATATAATATTCTACTGAAGCGAGCAGTGTGTGCGAGGGGTCACTCTCGGCTCCAAGATGAAGATTATCGCTGGAGGCTGTCCATCGTCACGGCCAGCAATCAGTAGACGAGGATTTAGTAACTCTTTTTTTTTCCTTTCTAAGCTGATGGTTTAAAGAGACCACAACACCGGGCTAGTAGGTGAGATCACGTGGATCAAGCCGGGGATGTTGCTAACATTGGCCCTAGCAAGAGCAGTGCTTCGCAGAATCTACCACCGGATCGGAAACGCGACCCACTGAGAAGATCCGGCGAGAAACTCAGTGGGCTGTGTCTGTGGGTTCAATATCCAGTGTAGTGAGATCACGTATATATGAACCAGCGTGATGCAATGTAAGCGATGTAGAATGGCAGGCCGGCGGAAGGAAAATGAGTAGTTTAGAAGGAAGTGTTGTAACACCATGTTTTTTTTATTGCCTATATCCTACCCTGACCTGGACTAACCTGATCCGCACTACCCTGGAAACCGCAGTTCAAGATGCTCTACACTCGGCGGTAGATAGGAGCAAATGACGTGGAATGATCCGGAATAAACTCTTGTTGCGAGGAGGCGGTCACGACCCTCAGTACCTATTGAGGAAACCGAAGCGAGAAAAATATATCCTACCCGGTGAATGGTTACTTTCGCTACAATGAGTTTGCCCCTGGTGTATACAACAACAATACCAGAGGCACAGTAAGCCTCGTTTGAAGAGAGATATGTCATCGCGCTCAGGAAACACCAAAAAGGGAAGCTTATTCCAAAGCCAGACGGTACATGGCCAGACTCAGAGGCTCAGAGACCCAGAGTGCTTTCATGGATTGTTTGAGATGATACCATCATCTCGTTTTTACCATGGCACCGCCCGCCACCGGAGTAGAGTTCATCCATACTACCTGGAGCCACTGCGGTCATCCACAGTGCGTTTCCAGAGATCTTTTTTGCCACGTACCATCCGGCTATGGAATGAGCTCCCCTCCACAGTGTTTCCCGAGCGCTATGACATATCCTTCTTCAAACGAATTTTGTGGAGAATGCTTAACGGTAGGCAGCGGCTTGGTTCTGCCCCTGGCATTGCTGAAGTAAATGGGTGACAGTAACCACTCACCATCAGGTGGGCCGTATGCTCGTCTTCCTACAAGGACAATAAAAAAATTAAAAAAATAAAAACTCATCAGTGGATGAACACAGGGTTCCAGATGGTATGAATGAACTTTGCTCAAGTATTTGCTCAAGTGGAGGAACTTTGCTCAATCAAGTAGGTAGTATCTGCTCAATGGGCGTGGCGATGTTAAATACAAGATGATGGGAACATCTCAAATACAGACAATCTTAGTGCGAGACACGAAGCGTGCCGGCTTACAATTGAAAGTTTCACTACTTATGTAATTACTTAAACACTATTTCTTGTAATCAGTCAACATGGCCGCGGGATGGTCGTAATTCAAAAGTAATTGCATAAAACCGAAGCGGCCCTCGAAATAATTTGTGTCGAACGGACCACGGACACACAATGTCTAGATGTGACCGGCCGTGAGTAGCCAGGTACTACTGTAAATAGTTCGTTATTTTAATTGGAAAATCTTTACATTTAACAATTGATTCATTACATCGTCATTAACATTTGCGGTTGAAGACAAAAAGAATGTCACTCATGCGTATCGGAATGACGGTAAAATGTCCAACCATTGACCAAACGTTATCGAAAAACATTCTTTTTGTGGCGGGTAGCCATCATACAACGCAAGATATTTGACAGATGCCTGAATCTCGCTTACGACATCTTCAAGATAAGCTTGCATATATACAAGTTCCGAACAACAACATTCGGACCGTCGGTCTGCCGAGCAATATCACCCGCTCGATGGAAGATCTTCCTTTCGTCGTATATACCTACAAACTGGTGTCCTGCGATGGAACAATTGCAGCCTTCACACTGTTAGAATTGTATAATTCCTAAACGCATCTTTATGTTAATACCAACTGACAGCTGTCACTCGTCTAATATGTGTCAACGTCATTCGTGTGCTCGCCCCTTTTTCTTCTTGCGACGTCAATGAGTACGGACAAAAAAAAGTGTATCGCCATTAGAATAAAAACTATCCATGAAAATCTGCGTCTTTATTATAAGAAACCCAGACGATCACTCCAAAATACACTTCCTCATTAACGAATCAAGAACTTCAGTAGCCACATTTTCAAACAACGAGAAAAGAAATTAATTCCAGAAAATTTTGGTACTCGCCCTAAGATCTCTTGAGTGGCTATGAATGAATACTGTGGTCCAGACTGTAGAGTTCTCCACTGGTTCAGTTACGTGGTAAGTGTTTAAATAAATGTGGCGGGATTATTTCCAACAGCTTCTTAAAGAACTCCGTCGAAGTAAAGGTACTGTTACACATGCTCATTTCAAGCTTAAAAGCCTGCTTCTATTGAGCAGTTGCTACTTAGTAGCATGTGTGTCGGAATGTTGCTCAAAATTAGCATGCTTATTTTGAGTTTGCTTAACAGGTTTTCTTATTGAGTATGCTAGTATCGATCAGTCGTTTGCAGCAGGTGCACAATGCACGCAAAATGTCTCGCTGGGGCGGAGAAAA